TCTTCTGGGTGATGATGAGGACCCTTTAGAGCACTTTCTTCTCTGATGCTGTGCAGCTGTCAAATCTCATACAGATTAAATATGTCAATCTGCACTTTATGGAGCAGCAAGAGAAGGACACCAGTTGTTTTTTAGTTGACTTGGTTCTTTCAGAGGATCCTCGGGACAAGAGCAGGGACATAGAGACTGGCCCCGGTGTGGTAGAGGGTTAGCCCTGATGCTGGGGGAGACGTTGTCCAGTGTATCTGCTCTCCTTGTAGCTGATGGAATTTAGGATTAACTGCTATTAAATCAGCGTGGCTGAAGTCCTTGCTATGATGTGAACAGCCTTAGGATACATCCTGTGACTGTGTGATGCAGATGAACAAGAGCCAAGTTAGCGTCAGCATCTGGTGGAATATACACAGCAGTTATCACAACAGTACCAAACACTGTTTCAGAAATATCTCAGATATCAAATATCAATATTTGACTATTTATCCATCCATCCATTCATGACTCCCATGTTAAAATACCAGCTTTACAGTATTAAAAAGCACACAGTTAGAGTCTGCAGGAAAATGTAGTCCCAGTGCTGTGTTGAGACAAGCACAGGTGAACTATTATCAGTCTAATAGCAGAACCCACAAGCTAAACAAAATACCAAAAGGGGAACACTGGAACCTAACGAGGAAGAGGAACAAGAAGCAAAAGCAGACAATGAGATGAAAAAATAGGGGAAGACAGAGGGGTGAGTGAAGGAACCGCTGAAAGTCAAAGGGGAAAATGAGACTGGGAAAAGTAAAACTAACAGTAACCATGCAGAACAGGGAATACCGAAATAAAACAGAGCCAATCAAAGGTTGCTTTTTGTATGAAAACGTGTGGGGGAAAATCTGCTGTGTGTCAAACTCCAGCACAGAGAGCACAGAGCACCATCCATAAGTATTGTATCAATTATTAATGATGATAATAATGATGTTAAACAGTGATTCCTCCACCGAAAACACTGAAGATAAAGCTGCAAGCAAAGCTGTGTGTATGTCTGTGTGTTACAGTTTGGGGATACTGAGGCTCTCGCAGACTACACAGAGAGTCTGCTCCATTTTCAAGATCAGTTCTACCAGAAGGAGATGAAGTTGCAGGATGAGGTCGACCAGCAGAAGAAAGCACTGTTAACCCTGCAGGACCAGCACAACTTGGTGGTAATGCAGAAAAACAGTCTGCTGTCTCAGCTCCAGACCGAGCTAGAGAAGACTCAGGCCGAAGCTCTCACATGGGTACCGGACACAATCCTGGATCACATCCCTGCAGCAGAACTAAGGCTAGGTCAAATATACACTGTGAATGGCATTATGTGTTGCTGTCTTCATACAGGAACAAAAGTGGAACCACATTCAGGAAACAGCTGCAAAGAAGACACTACAACTGGGAAAGATTAAGATGGCGATCCTAAACCTCTATGAAATGACAGCAGGTGCCATAGGAGAAAAGGAAGGAGTTGATATGAATGACACAGAGACGCAGCTGAACAAGGTAAACTCGCAGATCAGTTACTGACAAAGAGCTAGAGCAGCAGGAAATGATCAACATAACCGCCTGTTCTTCTTCTTATAGCTGCAGGTGTTCTCTGAGGATGAAAATGACATAGTGAAACAATATGAAGCCAGACTTCATGCAGCCAGTGATGGAAAGAAGCCAAACAAGGACAAAGGGAACACAAAACCCAGAAAAAAATGAACGCATATTCAGTTTCTTGGCATACCGAATCATTTATTACTTCAAATAAAGGTTGAAAATATTGAGGTTTTTGAGCTGTTTTCAAACTGAATATGACTGAATAGTTAATATTTTAGCTAGGACAGGTAACTTCAATAATACCTGAAAACTCAATTCCATGTGCAATCAGCAGCTGATTAGTTACTTTGGAAAGGCTCCTTAGTTTGTCTTCCTGGCTGTATTTATTCAGTTAGCAGTGGTGGAGCATTCGAGTGGAGCTACTGCGACTGGTTTTCATTTATTTATTTTGTTTTTCAATCCAGTGCCTGTTTTATTAAACAGTAGAATCAGGACATATATGTGAACCCAGCTGTCATCCTTAGTAGGCTGACACCTCAGACACACACTCCACGTCTTAATGTTACAGTATTTAGGATGTGCACTCTCAGTGACATTAAAAGGAGGCAAAACCTCATTATGTAGTCCTCATAATAAAGCAACTTGAGGCAATTGTAGTTGTGAAGTGGCATTGCATACATATACATACATATACATACAATACTGTATATCCAGAAAGCCTACATGCAGATGGTTTTGGGTGTCCACGTGACTGTTATGCAAATCATTGAAAACACAGAGGACATCACTGCCACCCTGTGGACATCAAAGAGTATTTTATTTACTCAGTGAACGAGCCCATTTATTTTCTTGGGCTGGTTAGATGTGCTTCTAATTAATAGTTAGGTAGAAGCATGTTGGATATTTGCTGAGGTTGTTGCATCTCTTAATCACAAGATGTTTACTCAGAATGCAGCAAAGCTCACACACAAAGGCACAGCCATGTGAATACAGTCCAGTGCAGTTGTGAGTAACACATCAGTGTAGATGTCTGTTGAACTAATAAAAATGTGACATGAGATTGTTTTTGGTGTCATTTCTAAAGCTCCCTGTCAGCAGAACTACACAAAAACCAAGAACAAAAATCAATGAACTCAGCTGAGAGGTGGAGCATGTGCAAAAGAAGAAGCTGCTACATTTTGGTGCTGGTGGACATTTGTGACATGGCTTTGGCCTTACTGGCCTTAAAGATTCCTTCTTGTCTGCTGCTGTTGTTTCATTAACAACCTCAGATATTTACAACACATATTTGATTTTGCTCTCAGAGTGAACACAAAGCACCAAAGACTCATTCAAGAACAGGAAAGAATGAATGAAAACCTGATTCTGTGTCATATAGCAGAAACTCAGTGCCACTAGGGATACAAACGTGTTCAAGGTAACCTGCTGAAGAAAAACACAAGCATCGGTATGAGAAAGAAGAGTGATTTAAGTGACTTTGAGTGTGAAACTGCTGATCTACTGAGTTTTTCCACATGACCTCTGTAGGGTTTACAGAGAATGATCTGAGAATGAGGAAATATCCAGTGAGCAGCAGTTCTCTGGGTGAAAACGGCTTTTTGATGCCAGAGGTCAAAGGAGAGGGCTCGGCTGCATCAAGCTGATAAGAAGGCAACAGTAACTCAGAAATGCCTCTGTACATCCAAGCTATGCAGAAGAGCATCTCTGAACACATTGAACCTTGAAACGGATGGGCTACAGCAGCCAGAGACCATATCTGGTGCCACTCCTTTCAGTTAAGGACAGGAAACCCAGGCTACAGCTCTCAGGGGCTCAGCAGAATATTGCAAAAACATTGCCTGGTCTGAGGAGTCCTGATGTCTGCTGTGACATTTATGGCAGGGCCAGAATTTAGTGTAAACAGCGTGACTCCTTCCTGCTGCTCCTGGTGTAATGATGGACATTTTCTTGACATAATTTGGATCTCTTAGTACCACTGAGCACAGCTTACCTGAGTATCGTTGCTGACTGTGTCCATCCCTTTATGACCAAGAAGGGTACACTTAGCTCTTAGCATAACCCCACTCAGTATGTCCGGTGCTGTATGAGTAAAACTCTCTGGACTCGAGATGGGTAGAGCTCAGGCGTGGTTTATTCCCCTTTTGTGGGTCTCTGCAATAACATGGGACATGAGTAACCATGGGTTTCCAGCAACAGGATTCCGCCCAAACTATCAAGAGAAGTTTCAAATTATTAGACAAGACAGTCTCCTCTAGCTATTAGCCGCTAGCTCAGCGTGTCCATTTTTCCTACCGTCTAACCCATTAATTGCAAAACAAGATCATAAAACTGAAATCTACTCAGATGCTACTGTATGGGCAGTTCATGCTGTTAATGCACTGCCATGTTAACCTCAATGAGGATTTTCAAATATGTTTTAAACTCATGTTCAGTCAGGGCGGACTGAGGAAGAACTTACCACAGCAAAAGCTTCATTGCCACTAACGGGATAAGATTAGGGAAAACCAGTTTACCAGTAGCAGACTTTTAAAATCGAATCTTTCAAAATAAACCCATGGTTGCGATCCCAAGTTTAACAGGAATTTAACCACGACAAAACCATGTTCATTCTTTTACATCATTACATTAGCAAGTACAACCTTCAGGTGGAGACCCAAACGCATGATTTGTGTAACTGTGTATTTAGGCTGTATGTGTGATGATGTTCGTGCAACGTTTAAATGAGATTTGTCCACGTGTTGGGGAGGAGAGAGGGTACATATGCAACAAGAATATTATTTTTATTATTAATATTTTATATTGTATTTTTATTAGTACATTTCCAAAACTTTCAATTCCAGTTGAGAAAAATTAAAAACGGACATTTTAATCATTTCTCTGCTTGACGTCGCTCTTCAGCATATCAATGAACAGCATCAACACACTGCTCTAAATGTTTCTGTCCGGTCAGGCACTAAAACTATCCAGTCATGAAGCTTCAGGAACAAACAAATCAAACCAGTTAGATACGGCCGAGTGAATCCGAGTGAGTCTGTCTTGCGTTTCTGTGCAGGGTAGCCAATCAGATGTTAGGTATCATCTGATGATGAGCAATAAAAAATATTATTTATTAATTATTTTATGATGCAGATGCAGGCACCATCAAATAATTATGTTAAGTTAAATTAATTATGCCTTTAATATTTTTATTTTAATTAATTAATAATATGTATTTATTGTTTATGTATTTCCAACTTGACTAGATCAATGACACTTTTGATGAACTGCACGCAGTTATTTCATTCTGGCACTCTCGGCGCTCCATACCTCTCTGGCTCCATCCCTGCACTGCAGTGTTTTTCCAGCAGATGTCGGCAGCAGAAAGCCCAGTTACTGCTTCTATGCTGGTGTTTGCGTCTCCACCGGGACAGCTGTTGTCAGAGGTTCTGTTGCTTTAAGGCCGGATGGTTTACAGCTCACACACGGCTGACGATCGGCGCCTGCTCAGTGCGTCTTCTCCGCTGCCGCTGCTTGGATCGCGGACCTGGGGGGTTTCTGTCCCGTCCGTGTGCTCCTGTGTGCGCGTATGTGTGCGCTGTGTCTGATGGTAACCCATGGATTGACGGAGGGGGAGGCTATTGTTACCAGCCCGGTGGCTTGTTCTGCTGCAGCTGCACTTTCAGCAGAGAATGCCCAAAGCAAACGGAGCGGTAACTGCACGGATAGCGCAGGAATACACCAGAGGATCAAGGTAATTACAAGCGTATTTGTTTCTTTGTAGCCATGCCCCAGATTTGTTTCTTATTCTCTGTGGAGTAATAATAATGAATAAAAACGAGGTCTCGCGCGAGGCTGTAGAATGGTGTCAAATCACAGCATCGCGCGCGGCTCGTACTATCGGAGGCTGTGGGTTTGTTTACCAGCGCTAAATGACACTTTGAGCCGCTACAAAGGTCCTGATGTCGGCGAAACACGTCCACACCGTGGGCAGCATCCTTCAGCAGCCTGGCCCTGCGTGTGTCTGGGATGGAGACACTGAAGGCAGCGGCAGCAGCTCTCGGGCCTGCTGGGGGAGCTTCGAGAATACAGCGAAGTTATTCAACATTTTTCCTGACAGCTGAAAGCAGAAGCACTGCTCAGATATTCATTACGCTTTATTATACTGGCGTGTTTCTGCTACTCCTGTTTGTCCTGAAATGATAACCCGTAACATTGTACTCTCTGAGTCTCACATAGTTTTCGCAACATTTGTGGGTCTTATTAAGTCTTTATTGGCTTAATAACTGCCTCACTCACTGATACACATTCTGCGCAGTAACTCACATGTGATGCATATTAGTAAGCACAAACACAACACAGCGGTTAGGTCTTAAATTGAACCAATGTATGCCAGTTCTTGAATACTGAGTACATGAATATTTTTTCTAATCATTGTACATGTTTTAATTTTTCTGAAGCACAGAAAAAAAGAGATTCTGTTTGTGAGGTTTCGCTGGGAAGATGTAAAAGTTTTATTTATCCAGTTTGAAACCAATGAAAAAGATCAACAAAGTGCAACGATTCCATTGTACTTGATTAGCTAATAGATGAGGAGTCTGTAAATGTTTTACAGTCTTCAGAGAGAATCATCGAGAGTAGGCTCCAGACCACCAAGGGCTAAAAAAAAAAAATCCCTAATTCACTGGGTGTTCTTTATCTTTAGTAATTCAAGTAACTGCACAGGAACCTGAGTCATTCAGTTACAAAACATTTAAGTATGTCCTGCTGTACTCACTTTGTGTTGGAATTCTCTCTCACACTCTCTCCTTCTCTTTAGAGCTCCAATGATGCTTACTCCTAAATTAAATGGCATTTGATCAAATTCCCAGGCTTGTGGTCCACCAGGAAGTTTTTAACCACAGGGCTCCCAGTCAACATAAAGTACCCGGGGACGGATGGATATTCAGTTTATGTAAAAGTCCAAACCTCAGATTTTGGCAGTGACCATTACAGTTCAAACTCTATGTGCTTAACACAGGAAACACAAACATTAGACCTGTGTAGGTTTGTATTGTTTTAAGGCAGGGAAAAAACCCAAAGTAAACTTTACAAAGAAATAAAATGCAAGTTAACACACACACACACACACACACACTTCCAAAGAACAGGACCACACTTACCGAAATCAACGTCTGCACACTTTGATCAGGAATAGTTAAAAGATCTGCAGTTTAGAATATTGCAGAACATTTGTTACATTTTGGTTGGAACTTGTCCTGGTGACCTTATTGCTATCATTATCAAAAGTGAGATCGCTGTCCAAATGACACTAAGGTTTCTGACTTGAAACTTTGTCTCAAGTTTGCCTTCAGTTCTAAATGTCTCAGGTTTTGAGACATCCAGACATCAGCACAGATAATTAGTGAACAGAGGTTAGATCATCAGAAAAAAAAAATTAGTAGTAGTTTATAGCTAATAGTTTTCTGTATAATATGAAGTGAAAGTTGAATAAATATGATTGTAGGTTGAGAAAAAAATATATAAACTAGACAAGCGAATCTAGAGGAATCCAAGGAAGAAGCACGACACTCTAAACAGGAATAACAGCTCCGTGTTAAACCTGTGAGATTGAAGTCGTCATCAGTTACAAGCCTAATCCAATCAGAATATGTCATTTTTTTATATTGTTGTCTAAAGATTTGGAGGTCAGAATAAAAAAAAATTCAATTTGACAAAAAAGAGTTTAAACTCCTCCACATGATATTAAATGAACACACCACTTCTTTAATAATGAATATGACTTAATGTGTTAATATGTTTTGATTCAGTACGTATCCTGATAGAGTAATCTTAGCTAGTTTCATTTGTGAAACTGGGCTTATGACATTAAAATTAGCCGATGCAACCAAACACTTTATGCACCCGCAGTAACTTAAATGTGCAGAGGGCAAAATGTGACTCATTTCCCACTTTCAACAATCCTACCTCCGACCATGAACCACGTCAGCAAAAAACTTGGTTCAAGTCCAGCTCCCAAGTCTCCACTCGGAGGTTTATTAAATAAAGCTCAGCGTGTATTCCGAGAGTAAAACACAGCCTGCAAAGGCAGAGTACATGTTCATCAGTCAGGTAGTGTGAAAGGGTGCAGTCCCGTCTCTGTTCCCTCTCCTAGGTTGGGTCTCCACCCTTTGTGCTGGGTCTCCTGCCAGAGCTCGTCTGTGATTTAGTACGCTGACCACATGCAGCCGCTGCCATATGTTTCAGAGGACAGCTCATATTTAAAGCTTCAGTGCCCATTCCTTGGTAGCCTCTAGATGAAAGTCGTTAAACGTTTTTTGGTTACAAGCCACCATCTTAGAGCAGACGGGAAAGATTTGTCTTCAGACAACAGCAACACAGCAGAAAGGTAGCATCCTGCTACCTACTGGGTAAAAACATACATTCAGTTCACTTTGCATAGTCAGACGCTCAGTTTGCTCTCTGTGTCATTTGTTTATAGAAACTCAACAGGACACAAGGAGGTCAAATGGACTCAAATATAAAGTAAAGTAAATTCTGTTGCTACAGTGTGACACTACAGTGTGGCATTTTGTCTAAATATCAGAGCTACACTCTTAAGGTGGATCCTTTTTGTGGACTTTTTAAACCAAGAAGGAGCCATCAGTGTTACGTGTCCGCACTTCTGCACGTCTGCTGTTTGGCTCCTCAAAGCTCTTTGTTTCTCTTTGTTCAGGCTTTGACAAACACAGATTTTCACTGCATAATCCCGCTTTGGGGTTTTCCCTAATCCAGATGATTTGCGTTGTCCTGCAATGTGTCCGGATCATCACTCCAGGTCTGTCACTGGTGTAGAGCCAAACAGAGGATGCAGATTAAGCTGGATTAATACCTCTGCTGCTTTGTTTGATGATGAACATCAGTATATAGTCATGCTCCACCTCAGCGTGAGACCCCGAGAGAGTCAGGTGTGACTTTGCACAGTTTGGTCAGTGTGGGTGAAATTCTCTCTGATTCACGGTGCAAGATGGAGCTCCTCCCCGATCCACCAATGAAACCATTTAAAACAGAGGTGGCCTTCGCTTTTACCAATGAGAAAAACCACTGATCAATAAAGCAATTTTAGAAAGGCAGGCTCTCGCTTCAGCCACTAAGGACGGTTTTGATCTGACCAATGAGCTGTATTTACGGCCTTCTGACGAGTAAAGCGCGTTTTTTTTTAAAACCAACCAAGACAGCTTTGCAGATGCTGCAGAAAGTCCTTACCAGCTGCCCCACAACTTTACCAGTGTTGTTGGTCTCCTCACCACATTCAGGCATTTTTCCACATAAAACATCGCTCTCACTTCGGTACGACGGTCTCACGCTGAGGCGGAGCGTTTGTAAGTCTAACTTTTTTGGATTAAACAAACAAAATGTATCCATCGGGGCTCGCAGCCTCCAACTCTCCCCATCTTTACAAAAGCACTGGCTTTACCAAAAACAACCTTTTTACTGTGGTTTAACACAGTTTCACAGACGCACACACACACACACAGGTTTCTGCCAAGGGAACATTTTTTTGTCTAAAAAAGTAAACTTTTTGGCTTAAAATGACAACAGCACAAAAATATGAATATTCCACAGTTTTCGTTTCTGTCTCAAACCACCTCCTCATCATCCTCATCCATCGCCATATTTTCATGATCACATATTTTTGGGCATCGGATTATTGATTATTACTGAGTTATAAAATATCATAATTTTATGATAGTCATCAAAATGATAACTGCCATTAACTTTTATTACTTCCTAAATCATTCGACGGGGGGCCATAAATCACTGACCTGCAGATAAGCGTGACTTTGTTATGCTCAGTTTCATGAAACAGAGAGGGAACATTTTCTCGGTGGCTCCCGTTTATTGGATTTAAGTCAAATTATGAAATGTACTGTATTGTTTTCTTATTACTATTACTTATTAGTACTAGAGGCTGTATAAGTTAGAAGAGTATGTATTGCTCTTTAAACAGGCCTTGTCATGTCACAGTTTGGCACAGGGCCTTGGTGCGCCTGTATATGAGCACTTATACTTTTACACCTTCACACAGCTCTTCAATCCAGCTGACAGACAAATGCACAGTACACTCACCAGAACCTGTTTTCAGATCACTAAATTAATTACCACGTCTTTACCGAGCTTGTTCAGTCCTATAGACCAGCGTTCCCCAACCCCCAGGCCAGGGACCGGTACCAAACAACTCACGGACCGGTACCAGGCCACGAGACTTGAGAAATGTATGGTTTTCAGGGGTTTTATCTGTTTTTATGATTATTTTAGCATTTTTATTGTTAACTCTGTTTCCCTGGGTCTTTTCTTGTGTGTTATGAATAAATCTTCTTTTTTCTGGTACTGGTTTTATTTTATTGTATTCATCCGCGACTCCGTGGTGCAAAAAAGGTTGGGGACCGCTGCTTTAGCACGTTTCTGGTGCAGTTTTTGATATTTTAAAGCCCCACTATGATATTGTTCTACTAAATCCAAGGCAACCATCTACTGATGTGTTTATTCTCTTTAAAACCAAAGCATGCTTCAGGTATACCAGCTCATCGTGCTGTTAGTCACATCTAGCCATGTTATTTTTTTCATCGTCAGTTGTTGTTTTCTCTAGTTTATGCAAATCTTGCTCTTCCTTTTTTCCGTAGATATTGACATGAAGAAAGACATCGAGAGTCTAATCGCAGAAGAACGAGCTGATATCATCTTGAAGTATGCTACGGTGAGTTTACATTGTCACTTGTGTTTTCGTTCGTGTCTTGGAAGAAGAGTTCTCACATGGTTCATTTTGGGCTTAACAAAAACACAAAAGGACAAAAATTCAAATGTCTTCTTGTGTTTGCTTTGTGTGCAGCACATTTCTGCATGTGTGGAGGACAACAAGCGTGTATGTGTGTGGGTGGATGTGAGTATGCTGGCAAAGTGCATTAATAACATGTTGTGTAATAATATGTTTATGCCTGCGGTGCGATGTCTCGGAGAACGAAGACCACAGATATTGATTGTGGCTGCAGTGGAAACTAACATTAAAAGCAGCCATTAAAAACTAAACAGACATGATTCATTACATCCTTTCCTCTTGATTAGTCTTCAATGGACTGAGAAGAAAGCCATCCACTGTGCACATGTAGTACAGGTTTTAGAGTCCTGCTAATGATCCAGATACCTCGGCTTTGGGAATTTAATGATCCACCTATTCTTCAGTCTGAGCAAGAAACTGGAAATCATTCTTTTATCCAGGAAGCAAAATCAGGCTTCATGTCTACAGTAAAAAGTCTTGACCATGGACTTTCATATGAACGACCGGTGTAGCCACCTAAATGTTATCTATCGAGTCGCTGACTAGGGCTGGGCCATATTATACCGTTCACGGTAGTACCGGTACAATGTTAAGAAAGATAAGAAAATGAAATATCGCGATAGAATATGGGTAAAATGCGCATGCGCAGTGGCTTTGTTTTCATACACACCTGGCAGAACACGTTTCATCATTTGAAACAGAAGCGCTTGTTGGAGTACAACAAAGCTGTTAAAGCACGTGAAGAGGCGTCCGCTTCAACTAGCGTGGTGGTGAGACCAAAGAAGCTGACTCAACAAATAATCGGCGTAGCTTTAAATAGCTGCATGCCTTATGACACAAGTAGCAAACGTTGGGGGGAACTAACTAATGAACTAAACTAATATAAACAGCTGCTTGTTTAAGTGAAAATAAATCAATGTTTTAGGGTTTTTTGCACTAATAAAGTTGTGGAGTTGTAAAGTACTTCGTCTCGCGTCAATTATATCGTCAGTTATATTGTTATCGCAAGTTTTCAAATATATATCGTGACAAATATATTTTGCCATATTGCGCTGCCCTATCGCTGACTACAGTTTTGAGTTTAGCTTTTTGCATGTAGCCATCTTGGTTTTTTTCTGAGCGAAAAGTTAACATATTTGGAGCTAGCTAGTAGAGGTGGGAATCACCATACAACTCACGATACGATATTATCACAATACTTAACGCACGATACGATATTATTGCAATTTTTTAAAATATTTTGCGATATTCAAATTCTGTATATAAAGGTAAACTTTATCAATATTAATTTTATCTAATATCAAAGTCTCACTCTCCGTCTTTCTCTCATTTCAGTCAGTTTTATTGTTGACAAACTTGAACGGTTTGTATTACAGTCTAGTCCAACTTAACTGAATGCAACCATCTGGTACAATTATAGCTATTCTGAACTATGCAATTTATGAAAACTATGCAGCCCCTTCAGCAACTGAAGAATTTGAAAGTAAATTAAAACAAAATATAATTTTATACTAAATAAAAAAGTTTTAAACTTAATTAAAATAAAACATGTCTTAAATTAAAATAAGTCAACTGTCATGTTTATTGCTGCCAAAAAAAAGTTAAACAAATTTGGACAGTGAAGGAATGTCAGGATTCTTGCTCAGAAAAAGGATCAACATGCTCTGAAGTCGGAGCATGTTCCAGTCCACGAAAAAATTGTTTGTAACAAAATATCGATTTCTGCTGTCCCTGTATCGATACATTATTAGCAAACAAAATATCACGATACTAAACAGTATCGATTTTTTCCCCCCACCCCTACTAGCTAGCTTGTTAATAATGTATTGAAATGTAAAACAGTCACTGCAGAGGTGCATGTTTGTGGCAATCCTCAGCACTCTGTCACCATGGTTCTTAAAAAAATCAAAAAAACACTACTTTCTCTCACCATTACTGGGAAATATAACTCCTCATGACCACATCATCATAGGTGGTAACCATAACCCTACCTTAGCCTAAAGCGTTGGAGCAAGGCAAAACTGACTTTTTTTTAAAAAACATATCAATGCTTTGATTTTCTCAGTTTGAATAATTGTTTTATTATGATTGCACAAGTGTTCGTGCTTTAAAAAAAGCTGTTGTAAGTAGGAAAGCTTCTCAAGCTGTAACATAGAAAAGGAGCTTTGGTCAGAGTGGTAAATGTGCTGATGCAGAGCTGAGCTGGGGCCGGGTGGGGTTGGTGATGCCACAGGTTAAATTTAGCTCAGCGGCTTGCAGTGAAAGGATGGCAATGGAGGGGTTTGAGCTTTTTAGCCATAGCAACATCTGTGACAAACTGTGCAGTAATTGAGTTGACACTGACCTGCAGGGACAGCATTTTCCACACAGTGTTTGCCACTCGACAACCCCAGGCGATACTCTAATTTAGCTATTGTGCTAATCTGAATTGCAGTAATTTGTTGCTTTTAAGAGATTTAGTGTTTCTCTGTCAAACCTGGCTGCAGCAGAATGTGGGAACGATTTCAAAATTCTTTTGATTTCATCAGGAGGCAGCTCTGAAGTTCGAAAACACAAATAATATTTGTCTATGTTCTTCATTATTCTATCCATGGTTTGAAAGCCTAACCTTTATTCTTCTAAACATATCTCTTGTCATTGTGGTTGAATAGCTCAGTCTTAAAGCTTTTCCCCAGAAGGCTTTGGGCTTGTCCATGTGGACAACTGCAAATTTCAGTTGAACCTGAAGTTATTAATTTCATAAGCATGGACTTTTTCTTTGGTCGACACTCTTTCTTAGTCCGTGGTAGCGTAAACAGCTGGAAGGTCAGTGGACTGTGGACAGCGACACTGGCCTTCCAGCAGTTTCCAGCTCTTGGTAGGCTTGATCTTGTTGGTTCCTGGTTTGTTCCTGAACATCCTAATCAATTTTGTCTTTACATACAATTCTTTGAACCGATGATCTGCACCTGTTTAGAAATGGCCCACTGAGTTTCTGGAATGGTCTTCCCAATGCCCCAAACTCAACCCTATTTTAAATTTGTGGGCTGTGCTTAAACGCCAGTTCTGTGCCAGGAAAACAACAATTTTTATATACCAATTCTGCCAACAAGGGTCATTAAATATCCAGCCAAAATAATGCAGAAGCTAGTTGATGACTACCAAAAACATATATTTGAGGGGCAGGTTTCTAAGGGGCATTAAACCAAATAATAATGTACAGATATATTTGAAAATGTGGGTTTACTTGGATTAGAGAAAAGTCAAAATAAGTTCAAACTTGTGGGCCTAATTCTTGTTTTATTTTTTAAAAGATTAAAGATGTACCCTGGACAGTCAAACTGGAAAAGAACAGTTCAAATAAATGACACTGTGTATGATCATCTTGAAAAAGAATATATGGATAACAAAATTATTCTTCTTTTGATGCCAAAAGAAGCCATTATTTTCAAAAGAAGCCAGAGCTCCAAAATGATGCTCTAAACATTATCAGTACGGTAAGTATAAAATTAAGAACATTAAAAATGAGAAATTAGTGAAACATTAGGAATAACACTGATTATCTCTTCTTCGTGGAATCTGTTAGTGGGTGCATTTAAGAAGTGAACATTTTGTCTTTAAAAGCAGAAAAAACTGGTGAATGTAAAGATTTGAGAGAGTTTGACTAAGGCTGAACTGTGCCGGCTCAATAACGAAGTCAGAGTATCTCCAATGCTGCCACTCCTGTGGCGTGTTCCTGGCCTGCAGTGGTCAGCATCTATCAAAAGTAGTCCAAGGAAGGAAATGGGGTGAACCAGAGACAGGGACATGGGCAGCCAAGGCTCACTGATGTACACAGGGAACAAAAGCTGGCCCATATAGTCTGATCCAACATCTACTGATCAAGCACACACATCCATACATATGCAATAATACCAAGTGCAATAATCCTTTCTGTCATCGTTGTATTTTTACTCAGTTGTATATAGTATTTGTATTTGTATTCTATTTTATCTTATTGTATATTTATTTTATTTTATTCTACTGTATATAGTATTTTATTTTATTCTATTCTGTACAGTTGTGTACTGTATTTATTCTTATTGTATTCTAATTTTTGCCTCATAACTTTTGCACTGTCCACTTCCTGCTGTGACAAAACAAATTTCCCACGTGTGGGACTAATAAAGGTTATCTTATCTTATCTTATCTTATCTTATCTTACTAAAGCATATATAGAATACACAGTGCATCACAGTTTGTTGCGAATGGGGCTGAATAGATGCAGACCAGTCAGGCTGCCCATCCTGACTCCTGTCCACTGCCCAAAGTGCCAGCAATGGGCAAGCGAGCATCGGAACTGGACCCCAGCACAATGGAAGAAGATCGGCCTCATCTGATGAATCACTTGTACATCACATGGATGGCTGGGTGTGTGTTGTTTGTTGTGTTGGAGGAAGCAAGCAGTGTGATGCTTTGGGCGATGTTCAGCTGGGAAACCTTCATCATTGTGGATGTTACTTCAACTCGTACCGCCTAGCTAAGCTTTTTTGCAGACCATGTACACCCTTTCATGGAAACAATATTCAGCTGGATAATGCAACCTGTCAGAAAGCAAAAGTGTTCAGGAAGCTTTGAGGAGCACAGCGAGGTGTTGATTTGGACTCCAGATTTCCCTCAATCCATTCGAGCATCTCTGGGATGTGCTGGACAAACAAGTCCACGGGGGCCCCACCTCACAGCTTACAGGACTCTGTTGCTAACATCTTGGTGTCAGATACCACAGCACACCTACAGGGGTCTAGTGGAGTCAATGCCTCAATGGGACAGTGCTATTTTAGCAGCAAAAAGGGGACCAACACAATGTTAAGCAGGCGGTCATAGTGCTAATCGCTAGCTCTTACCACTTGACTTCTGTAAGTAAATGCTACCACTAAGTACGATCAGGGTAAGATCGGCTGTCTGTTTGTTGGCACCTGTAACTCACAGTAGCTGTGTCATTCAGAAAAGATGAAAGAAAACAAGGCAGAGTAGTCGGGTTGTGTCGAATGGTTTAAAGTGGCCTGACAGTCATTAGTGCTGTGAAATAAGGCAGCCGTAGACACTGGAGCTCTTGTGTTTTGATGCACTCCATCAAATCTTATTGTGTCTTACAAATGATGTGAGTCATTCATTTAGTGAATTCGATTCAGTTGTAGTGAATCAGCGTAGCAAAATTTAAATGAGTGCGATTCAAATAGAGCCATCTCTCTGGCTTTAATGTCTTTCTGTAACACACTGTGTGTCTCCAAACGCCCTCGGTGTAAAATTATTTTTAGTCCTCTCACTCTGATGACGCCGACATCACATGCAGGGCCTCTGAGGCTCAGAGAGCCGACTCAGCCATGGTGAAGCTTTACACTTTCTTTGGGTTCGCTGATTGGCTGCTTTCCAGTTAGGCAGCCAACCACAGTCGAGTGGAGTGAGAAGCCTCTCAGGCTGTCTGTCTGAGGATTAGTTCCCTCTGTGTTATGTCAACACTGGGATCAAATTGTTGCTCAAATGGATTTTCCATGATAAAAGCATTACTTCTAAACTTTGTGCAGGTTTAAGGAGATTCTAAATGCATGTCATGTACAGTTGTACTATGGAGAGAGACTGAGTGCTTACTTGATTAGGGGAGGAGGTTTGTGTGTGGAGCTTTCTGTCCATGTTCATACTGTGCTTTTATTCATTTAGTTAGTCACATGTGTACTTTTTGGCTTTTGACTGCGATGTAAAGCTTAAATATTTAAATAGATGTATTTTAAAAAATGTCCAACTGGCAACTAGTGATATCACGAAGTACCAATGCAAACTGTAAATGTAGAGGATTTACAGTATGGCAATGTGGCTTATGTGAACCCTAATGAACATGATCATGACATGCTTGGTCCTCAAGCATTGATTCCAAGGGGCAAAGCCCTACTCCAAAAGTAAGCTCTAAAAAAATACTGTACAGTCGTCCCTCGTTTATCGCGTTATTAAAAATAACCCACGATAGGTGAAATCCCCAAAATAGCCAACTTTATTTTTTTACAATTATTATAGATGTTTTAAAGCTGTAAAACCCCTCACTACTCCCTTTATACACTTTTCTCAGACAGACATTTTCACACTTTTCTCTCTTGTTTAAACACAAAGTTCAAACCATCCATCCATCTTCTTCCGCTTTATCCGGGGCCGGGTCGCGGGGGCAGCAGCCTAAGCAGAGTAGCCCAGACCTCCCTCTCCCCAGCCACCTCCTCCAGCTTGTCTGGGACCAGCCGAGAGATATAATCTCTCCAGCGTGTCCTGGGTCTGCCCCGGGGACTCCTCATGGTGGGACATGCCCGGAACACCTCACCCAGGAGGCGCCCAGCAGGCGTCCTTGTCAGATGCCCGAACCACCTCAGGTGGCTCCTTTCGATGTGGAAGGGAAGTTCAAACCTTCATAGAAAAAAAAGCCCATTATTATAGAATGAAGCCAAAGATGAAACCCTGTTTTCAGGTCCAGAACATGGGAATAGAGCAGCTGCCAGAGAATTCAACATAATGAATCAATGGTACAGAAGTGGAGGAAGCGAGAAGAATGAGCATGTCTTTTTGTGCGATGGTTAGCAGCTTCCTCTGCCTGTTGGGTGCTACCGCAGAAGCCTTTGACGGTGCAAAACGTTTCGTCGACATTGTCGTGTTTGTTGGGGAGAAAACTTACAAACTTACAGTACAGCAGAGTCACACTGCTAGGATCAAAGATTTATGTAAATTTGACAAACTGAACACGTTCTGTACTGTACAGGAGACACGGCACAAGATTGATTACAATGGTCTACAGCCAATCAGGACGCAGAACACAATGTGTTGTTTAAAAAAAAAAAGGATGCAAAATTGCACCAAAAAAATCAGCGAAACAGCGAAAGGTGAACTGCGTTATAGCGAGGGAGCACTGTATATCAAAGATTTCTGGACTCAAACTATGATTTATTTTAAGGCAGAAGTGATGATTTGTGGATGAGAGGGTGCAATTCTAGTGATCAGTCAGTGTCACGTCAGTCTAACTGACTGTTTTTGGAGACAGCCTGAAGTGGCCCCAGGAGGAACTAGTTTCTGCTACTTCTACAGTACTTCAGCTTATCAACCCCAGACCTTACTGCTAGTTCTGTAATACCTGTAATAATAATAACTGTAGCATTAAAGAGGAAGAGGAGCATCACAATATGCCTGTCGTCGTCCCTAACTAACGACAAACACGATTGTGTGCAAAGGTTTGTGCATGGACCCAGATAGAAGACACATGGGGGCCTAATCTGGACTTCTTTTGGCACAGCACTCGCAAGTCCTGTATCCAGGCCAGGCACAGGCCAAAAGCAATGAGGCAGGCTTTACATGGGTTACATGTGTTATATGGGCCAGATGCAGGCCAGATGTAGAACTGACCCATGTAAGGAGCACCTATATCCATACTGTAGGACCTTGGGCTCATCAAGAGTCTTTAAACTCCATTTTGGGGCCTTTGTAGTTCCTCCTTTAGGGCAGGTGCGCTTCAGCACAATAAGATCCTTTTGTTTATGTAAGTAATTGTACACATGTGCGTATCTATTTGTCTAGACTGTAGTTTGTAAGTTTATACCTGTTACTGTTTCCAGGGCAGGCAGGGCGGGGTGGAGATCTACCCCTGGGAGGATGCTGATTACAGCATCTACAAAGTCATCGACCGTTTCGGCTTCATGCAGTAAGTCTGTCTTCAAAGTAAAGTCATGCCGGTTGGTACCACTCTGCCCTGTTTTGTTGCATCTCATCATTTGTTTCTCTTCATTCTTCCAGTGAAGATGAGCTGCCGGCACCAACTGCACATGAAGAGAAGGTAAAGAGGCAAATGCCACATTTCTTTCAGGACAAATGCATGCAGTAGGTTGTTTTTGTTCACCAGCTTCTTTTACTTTCATAGCTGAAGCAGCAGGAGATTGAGAGAGCAGAGAAATGGCTGAAGATGGTGAAGAAGTGGGATAAATACAAGAACAGTGACAGGGTGAGTAACAGTTTGCACACGGAGCACATGGACAATTCAGAACAGATTTATAATGACTTCATTGCTGGAGACAATTGCTGACAAACATGTAAAACTGCAGCTGGTTTCTCTGATGTCAGCGAGTTTTGTAACACAGATTGAATCACAGCAAGTGTCGGTGTTGAGTCCAGAACATATTCAGCTCAAATGTACTCCCTCATTAAGAATTCTGAATCAAAGCTTCTCACCAGAATATAAATCACACTAGGAGAGGAAAAAACCTACAATCTTCTCTCCATCTCGATAATGATGTCCTCATACAAGCTTCTGGCAAGTGTCCCCATAAGTCTCACAAGCAGTCATTAGCAATAACAATTTTGCTGAAAAAATGATGAAATCAGATTTCTTATATGCTAATTTCATGTTTCCATTATACTTTTTAAAAATGTATTTAAAAATCCCATTGTACAACGCAGAGGTTGGGTTCTGACACTCTGCAGTTCTGGGTTAGTTTCTTTGGTTTTGCACCGACACTCTTCCTCACTAAGACGATGTGCGTCCTTGTACGGGATGTGGAAAGGTGGAAAATTAGCTTGACTGGTTCCGACCCTCTGGACAAACACCTACATTAGTGAGAGAGTTGCTGCTATGCTTATTGATCGTTGTTACTGTGGCTGGAAAATCAATAGACTCAACAAGAGCAGCTGAGTGTACATCCACCGTTAGCTTGGTCTCCACTAGTGTCAGTAAGTCATCCATCCGCTTCCAGTTATCCTTTTCAGGGCTGCAGGGGGCGCTGGAGCCTGTCCCAGCTGTCATAGGGAGAGAGGCGGGGCACACCCTGGACAGGTCGCCAGTCTGTCGCAGGGCTGACACAGACAGACCATTCACGCTCACATTCGCACCTGTGGGCAATTTGGATTAATCAATTAACCTATCCCCACTAACTGCATGTCTTTGGGGAGGAAGCCGGAGTACCCGGAGGGAACCCACGCAAACAGGGGAGAACATGCAAACTCCACACAGAATGACCCCGGCCTGATGGTGGAATTGAACTCAGGACCTTCTTGCTGTGAGGCAACAGTGCTAACCACCGTGCCACCGTGCTGCCTAAATTGTTCATAAATAATAAATCTCTGTGTTATTCTAAGGTCTTTACCATAAAATATAAAGCATCTTGCAGTAACTGTTTTGGTATTTGGTGCTATATAAATAAAACTGAACTGAGTTCAGTTCAGTTTGATCCATCATTGAGCATTTCTGTCATCTGTCTTTGTTAAAAACATGAAACATTATCGTGCTCGAAGCATGAATTTGAGCTCTTTGTTAGCCTAACGCTCTTTTTTAAAGTCGTCATTGAGCTCGTTCTAGTTGTAATTCTAGTTTCCTTTTCCAAATGACTGAATAAATAATACAATATGTACAGTTCCACCTGACTAAAGCTGCTGACAGTAGTCTCTGTTCTGCTCTGCAGCTGTGGTGAACTCTGTGTAGTGGCAGCAGATCTCTGACTGCTGTGGATTCTGGTTCAAAGAGCCACCAGTTTACAGCAGATCCCTAAAGCAGAACAAGCACTTCTGTCACCAGCTGAAGTCTACAAACTCAACAAAACTGTGCTATACACCAGCATAACACCAAGCTGACCAGTTTACTCAGAGGCAGCACATTAGTGTATAAGGACCAGAGTTAGTTGGTTAGCAGTGACTGAACAAAGTCAGGGCTGGGAGGCTGCAGGAGTAAATATCATGTTGCTGTCTCGGAAAGATGGAAAAATAATAATAAATCATTAAAAAATATAGTTGTGCAGCCTGTCTAAGTAAAAAAAACAGAGTAATCAGAAAATTGTAAAAATCTGTAGCTAGAAGTGTAAAGTGCTTTATGAATGTGTGGCTAAAATGTGACTTGTAGTCTAAAGCACTTTGAGTGGTCAGTGAGCTGAGAAAAGCACAAGTACATCAAATACATACACAGCAATGAGAGCAAGCAAGGTGGATGAACTGTGCGTGGCAGGCAGGACTGGACCCGAACGCAGACTCACAGACACAGAGGAAAAAAGCAAAACAACAGACAGACTAAAACTCACGCTGAATACAATTAAGCATTAAGTCCAAAAGACAAAGCACTTGGCCCAAGACAAAGGATTTGGGGGGGTGTTTCCATGTTGATGAGTGGAGGTACTTGAGGTAGAAGTTGCAAAGCCAACCAAGTTAACAGAAACTGTACGACAGAGAGATACTTACAAACCTGCTTCGAGTGCTCACGGAAAATGTTTTCAAACTTTTGGCTTTACTGTGAACGGGGTCGTAGGCGATCGGTAGGTGGTTTAACTTTCTGATGATTCAGTCTTTGTAGCTTCTGTTCTCTAAACTTTGTGGCGTTTTATTCACTCAGTGTTTATGATTCCCTCTGCTCTCTGCTGCCAGATGGTAAAACGAGTATACAAAGGCATCCCCCTGCAGCTCAGAGGCCGGGCCTGGGCACTGATGCTGGACGTGGACAGGGCCAAGAAGGAGAACGAGGGCAAATATGAGGTATTTATTCACGTCTGAAATGAGTCTCTTTGCAAATCTGTTCTGAGCATAAAAATAAGTTGGACATATAAATACGTTTTTTAAAAAGCTGAGAGAAAAACATTGTTATAACTGTTATAAACTGTAGCTATGTTGTAAATGTTACAAGTCTAATGTAATAAAGTAAAAGTATAAAGTAGCATGTTTTAAAAAAAGTTAAAGCTATGAAATATCAAAGCTGACAGTCTTATCACCTGGCAGACTGATCTTAACTGACACATATTTGTAAAGGATAAGATGGTCCACCAACCTGTAATCACATTTTCAGCACATTCATAGATGCAATCACATTTTCTCTGATAGACGAGATGTTTCAGAAAACTGATGACACACATAAACAGTTAGCATAATCAATAATAGATTCATTCTGACTGAATTTACAATATATATTCCCTGATATGTAAAACTTGTTTTTGTAGCTCTACTGAATGACACATTTGTCTTTCAGCACAGGTACCTCCACATGTCCTTGTTGACTTTTGTCTGTTTTTCACTCAGAAAATGAAGGAGCAGGCCAGGCTGTGCTCATCTGAGATCAAACAGATTGACTTGGACATCAACAGGACATTTCGAAACCATATCATGTTCATGGATCGCTTTGGAGTCAAGTAAGTTTCACTGTTGAGTCGGATTTTGCAGCTGAAATGGATTTCAGACGGATAAACGGCTCGGACTTTCTGTTCTCAAAGAATATTTATAACCGCCAAGCTCAGTGGTGGGATCCAAAGTTACAGAGACATATTTTCAAAGTACTGAGCAAACAGTGTTGGGAAGGTTACTTTTAAAATGTATTCCATTACAGAATACAGAATACACGCCCCAAAATGTATTCTGTAACGTATTCCGTTACGTTACTCAATGACAGTAACGTATTCTGAATACTTTGGATTACTTAACATATTATCATGCTTTTTACAACAACGTGAATGTACTATTGCTGTGTGATTTATTACTATTACTGAAGGTCCGCGGCTCCGAACTGTAGTAAAGGGACCTCTGACTAATACGGCGGGGTCCCTGTCGGCTCGTAGCCGAAAAATAGCTTTACTTTGTTGTGTGGGTCAACTTTTCTTGCGAGAGACAGAGAGAGGCGTTGAAAGGCTGCTCCAACGGAACTTATTGTTTTCGGAGGAAAACACGAACACGGTGTACAGTCGAGTCTTAATAGCTTACTTACAACTGGGCTCGTCAGGCACTCTTCTTGGCTGAAGTGGTTATTATTATATTTACATGCTTCCAGCTCCCGTTTTTCCTCGATGACAACTCGTACCTTTCCATTATCCTTTTTTCTCCCTCCTCTTGCTCACAGACACATAACGTGTATGGCAGTCCATTCTCCCTGCAACACGGACTACACTGCCCATGATGCTACATTCTTTCGAGCTATTCTTGTAGCATTCTGCCTGTTAGCTTAGCACAACAACAACAACAACAAAAAGGCGCTCTCTCACCCAGGAAACACACAGCCGCGCGAGAGATAGAGCGTCGCCCTGTAACCATGGCAACCGTAACGCTGCCGGCTGGAACAAAAGAACGTAGCTGTCAAATAAAACCCAAACAGTCCTGACCCGCGACAAAATGAAACAGGAAAGTACCGCAGTGTAATCCATTTATTTCAACAAAGTATTCTGAATACCACCTTTTTAAACAGTAACTGTAACGGAATACAGTTACTCATATTTTGTATTTTAAATACGTAACGGCGGTACATGTATTCCGTTACTCCCCAACACTGTGAGCAAATGATGTAACTTGCACATTAAAGAGGAATACAGTGTGAAAGCATACAGTTATCATATGCTTTCAGCAAAGTGTTAAGATTGTTAGGTCGCAGTGCTAATTATTAGGGCTGGGTATCGTCACTGATTTCTAGAATCGATTCAATTCCGATTCACAAGGTCCCGAATCGATTCGATCCACGATTCGATTTAATTCGATTCGATTTGAATCTGGGAAATTTTGACAGTCAGAAATATTATAATTCAGATCAGTACATTTACATATTTTTGTATCAATAAAAAGGAAGCTGACACACGCAAGACTTTATCACAGGTGTAAGCGTCACAGCAGATGCTTTTGTGTCAAAGTAGCTGAAGATAAAACACAGAAAAACATGAAGGTGATTTTCCTGGCCTGGGATTTTATAAAAATATTCTGCAGTACATCAAAAACGAAAGAAAACCATTAATCAACACATGAACATCACCTCTGACGTTACAGCGGTTTTATTAGAGACACGGTTAAGCGTTTTACATTTTGCTTAATTTAAAAAAATTTAAATTTGTTCAATATTGAACGGCAGAAATTAGGTTTACTTTTCGGAAGTAAGTAAAAGGGAAAAAAAAACGTCGGCCGACAGCGCTGTAAACAACGGTAGACTTGTGCGTAACAAGCAAGCGAATAATGAAGAAAAGAGAGAGAGAGCTGTGCATGAAGTGTGATTTTTATCCTGAAAAGTCAGCAAAAGTCAGAGGGAATTCATGATGATGTTTATGTGAAGCGTAGTTTGGATCTTCTTTTGCTGCTGGTTCGGTCAATATTGTTTGGAGAGAGATCAAACTAACAGCTTTAGAATCGGCTCATAAAGGGCGTAAACAAAAAGCGCGGACCCGCGGATCAGAATCGGCGAGCTGTCGGCTTTCAGCCCCGACCATCAGCTGAGAAAGGCGACATCTCACTGATTCTGATCCGCGGGTCGCGCTGTGTGTTTACGTCTTTGTGCAGAAGCCGTGTTCCTGCTCTCATTTACTGTCTTAGCTGTTTGGTGGTTGTTGAAATTTTGTGATCTTTCACCTGAGATTCTGGCATTTCGGGCAAAATAAATTAATATTAAAAAATCGATTCAGGATTTTAATGAATCGATTTTACGTTATCCAAGCCAGAATCGATTTTAATCGATAAATCGATTATAAAAACCCACCCCTACTAATTATAGGACAACATTTAGCAAACAACTGTATGAATTGTATGAATGGGTGTGATTGGGTGAATAAGGTAAGTTGTATGAAGCACTCTATAAGAGTCAGCCCATTTACCATTTACACTAGTGCGACATGAAACATAATAAACTAATAAACTTTAGACCAATATCTAAGCTGCCCTTTTTATCTAAAGTCTTGGAAAAAGTAGCATATAACCAATTGATCCTGTACTTGATGCACAAAATGTTCAGGAGATTTTCCAATCTGGTTTTAAAGTAATGCATAGCACTGAATCAGCACTTTTAAGAATTTTTAATGATATATTTTTATCATGTGATTCTGGTGAAAGTGTCATTCTTATCTTATTCGATTTAACTGCTGCATTTGACACCGTAGACCATGAAATCTCCCGTTTGGAGCACTGTGTCGGTGTAACAGATGTGACTCTGAAATGGTTCAGGTCTTACTTAACAGATCAAACCTTTTCAGTTCACTTAGGAAACTGTGAGTCCTCCCGTGCTCCGCTGTCTCACGGAGTACCACACGGTTCCATTCTGGGCTCTATCCTGTTTTCGCTTTATTTACTTCCCTTGGGTTTAATTTTTAGGAGACACAGACTCTCTTTTCACTGTTATGGAGATGACTGCCAGATTTATGTTCCTCTTAAAAAGAAAGATGGATCGTCTGTAAATCGTTTGCAAACATGTCCGGACGACGTCAAGTCGTGATTGGCGATAAACTTTCTTTGTTTTAATGATTCTAAGACTGAAGTAATGGTGTTCAGACCTGCCTCCACTGCTGTTCCGTGTGTTGATTTGCAAACCCTGAAATCATTCTGTAAACCAGAGATTGTTAATCTGGGTTTTAAAATTGATCCTGAACTCCAGATCGGTCGGTTGTACGGTCTAGTTTCTTTCATCTGAGGCAGCTGGCCAAAATCAAGCACTTTCTTGCGAGACAGCAATTTGAAACAGTAATCCATGCCTTTGTAACCGTTCGGCGGGATTACTGTAATTCTCTTTATTTTAGGGTGAGTCGATCTTCTGCTTTTCGACTGCAGCTAGTTCAGGCTGCACGTCTTTTAACTGGCACTCGTAGATGCGAGCAGATCACCCAGTTTTATATTCACTTCATTGGCTGCCCGTGCATTTTAGGATCCATTTTAAGCTGCTTGTATTTGTTTTTAAATGCTTGTCCAATGCTGCCCCTCTGTACCTCTCTGAGCTTCTTCATCCATACATACCTTCCCGGTCCCTCAGGTGGGCAGACCAGCTCCTCCTGAGCGTGCCCAGGACTAATCGTAAGCTCAGAGGGGATCGGGCGTTTGCTGTGGCAGCACCAAAATTGTGGAATAAGTTGCCTTTACATGTTAGACAGGCACCTTCCTTATCTGTTTTTAAAACATATTTATTTACCTTGGCTTTCAGCACAGCAGGACTTGTTGATGTCTCTTAATCTGTTTCTTATTAATTATATTATTTTTTAATTTTTAAGGTATTCTATATGTAATTTAACAGTTTTCTCTTTTGTTTTGTATTTGTAGCACTTTGGCCAACATTGTTGGATGTAAAGTGCGTTATAAATAAAGATGCTACCATATTCCCCTCTGTTTCTCGAGAACTACCAGATCCGCACGTTTTTGGCCTTTAGTTGTGTAGCTTCAGAATTAGTTAAGTGAAAAAGAGTAAACATAGCTGAGCAAGATGAATATACCAGCTCAAGTTAAAGGAAGAAAAAGAAAAGGTTGAATAAAAATGTTCCCTTCCTAGTACACACAAAAGCAAACTGGTAGGCTGGCTGAAAAGGGGAAAAACCACAGTTACCAGTATGCTGTAACAGGAATGTTGCGATACCAGAAATATAGTAGTTGGGACCAATAGAAGTCCACGATTCTTCAAACCTATCTCGACACCTAAACAAAATGATTTTTGGGGGGATGGTAACGTGCAGTTCAGGATAAAACGAGGACGATAATAATTATTTGTTGTTAGCTGTCAGATTGAAGCTCATTCACCTTGAATTCTTTGAACAGATCTGGATCTTTTATGTGCTTTAAACTGACAGTGATGGAGAGACGGGGTTATTTTGCTGCATTCGCTTTTAAGATGCCTTTAAATGTGGGACACCTACAGAATATTTACTGTGCAATTAGCATTTAAACTAAGCACAATGGACAAGGAGTATTCCAGTATTGGGATACTGGAATACTCCTTATTCACAGTGGGAATGAGAATCAGCACCTCCAAATCTGAGGCCATGGTGGAGTGCCCACTCTGGGTCAGGGACGAGTTTCTGCCCCAAGTGGAGGAGCTTAAGTATCTCGGGGTCTTGTTCACAAGTGACGAGAGAAGGGGGTGGGACATCGACAGATGGATTGGTGCTGCGGCTGCAGTGATGCGGACGCTGTACTGGTCTGTTGTGGTGAAGAGAGAGCTGAGTGTAAAAGCGAAGCTCTCAATTTACCAGTCGATCTACGTCCCTACCCTCACCTATGGTCACGAGCTGTGGATACAAGCAGCAGAAATGTGGCTGGACTCTCCCTTTTAGATAGGGTAAGTTCAGGGGTGCGTGAGGGGCTCAGAGTAGAGCTGCTGCTTCACCACATGGAAAGGAGCAGGTTGAGGTGGTTCGGGCATCTGACAAGGATGCCTCCTGGGCGTCTCCTGGGTGAGGTGTTCTGGGCATGTCTCACCGGGAGGAGGCCCCAGGGCAGCCCCAGGACACGCTGGAGAGATTATATCTCTCGGCTGGCCTGGGAACGCCTTGGTGTTCCCCTGGATAAGCTGGAGGAGGTGGCCAGGGAGAGGGAGGTCTGGGCTTCTCTGTTTACTCTGCTGCCTCCATGACCCGGCCCCGGATAAGCGGAAAAAGATGGATGGATGGATGGATGGATGGATATTTTAAATAAAAATCCAAATAGGTTTATGAGTTTTCTTACCTCTGAAAGGAACCAGCAGTTGTGGTTTCACTGCAGTGTAGGCTGGATTCAGAGTAGGCTGAAATGAGTAGCGCTGAGCACTGAAATCCCTGCATCCAGGTTCCCGTCAGAGGGAAAACCTGAGACAAGACTAATTAAGGTTGTTGTAGAAGGACATTGATGCACATGGCTTGGATGTCCACATACTTTGGGTCATGTAGTGTGTGTTACATATCATTTTCCAGGTTGTAACTGTTACCATATTCAAACAGATTAAAAAAGTGCGAGAGGAAAAAAATCTGTGTCTGCAGAGAGACCTCAGGGTGAACTTGGACTGAGTGTGAGAGAGAGGTGGGCAGGCTGAGCTCTGGATGGCGTGGGTTTATGTGTAACCTGATCCTGTAACAGAGTGATGTCAGTGTAATGGTCCTGTTCAGAAGCAGCAGTGGAAAGTGTGGAGCTGGAGAACATTTCAGTATCTAACAGATGTTCAGGATACAAAAAGGATTTTTAAAGAGCAGAGACTGTAGTCTCTCTGTGTTACTGTTATTTTTTCCTTTCCTCTCACTTCTGGTTTGTAATTGTGTGTCCAGCACACTGTTTGCTGTGGGGTTTGCTTACAGCTTCACATACAGTGTCAGGATTCATGACACTCATTTTTTCATTTCCTCTCCTTCTCACTCCCTTCCTTGTTTCCTTTTGTTGCTTCTTCTCCTTTCCTATCCTTTCCTTCCTGTTTCTTTGATTTACAGGCAGCAGGCTCTCTTTCATGTCCTCTCTGCATATTCAGTCTACAACACAGTAAGTAGCTGATTTCTCTAAATTACATGAAACATTAAAACACCAGCAACTCAAGTGAACTGATAAAAATCTGCAGTCACGTCTAAATTTTCTTTTCGTGGGCAGAGACTTCATTTTCCACTGTGGTTTCTTGTCCCCCCCCACACACACACACCCCACACACAGTACTGCATGCTTTTGACATGATATGCATTGAGTGCTTTAAGTGGACAGCAGCTGATACAGCACTGATGGTTGTCTTACTGAGCTGCTTTTATTATTTGCAGAAACAGGGTTTTTACTAGACGTGCCACTGAAACATGTGGATTGCAAAAATTGCTGAAACTGCAGCACTCATACAGGGAGTGCAGAATTATTAGGCAAATGAGTATTTTGTCCACATCGTCCTCTTCATGCATGTTGTCTTACTCCAAGCTGTATAGGCTCGAAAGCCTACTACCAATTAAGCATATTAGGTGATGTGCATCTCTGTAATGAGAAGGGGTGTGGTCTAATGACATCAACACCCTATATCAGGTGTGCATAATTATTAGGCAACGTCCTTTCCTTTGGCAAAATGGGTCAAAAGAAGGACTTGACAGGCTCAGAAAAGTCAAAAATAGTGAGATATCTTGCAGAGGGATGCAGCAGTCTCAAAATTGCAAAGCTTCTGAAGCGTGATCATCGAACAATCAAGCGTTACATTCAAAATAGTCAACAGGGTCACAAGAAGCGTGTGGAAAAACCAAGGCGCAAAATAACTGCCCATGAACTGAGAAAAGTCAAGCGTGCAGCTGCCAAGATGCCACTTGCCACCAGTTTGGCCATATTTCAGAGCTGCAACATCACTGGAGTGCCCAAAAGCACAAGGTGTGCAATACTCAGGGACATGGCCAAGGTAAGAAAGGCTGAAAGACGACCACCACTGAACAAGACACACAAGCTGAAACGTCAAGACTGGGCCAAGAAATATCTCAAGACTGGTTTTTCTAAGGTTTTATGGACTGATGAAATGAGAGTGAGTCTTGATAGGCCAGATGGATGGGCCCGTGGCTGGATTGGTAAAGGGCAGAGAGCTCCAGTCCCACTCAGACGCCAGCAAGGTGGAGGTGGAGTACTGGTTTGGGCTGGTATCATCAAAGATGAGCTTGTGGGGCCTTTTCGGGTTGAGGATGGAGTCAAGCTCAACTCCCAGTCCTACTGCCAGTTTCTGGAAGACACCTTCTTCAAGTAGTGGTACAGGAAGAAGTCTGCATCCTTCAAGAAAAACATGATTTCCATGCAGGACAATGCTCCATCACACGCGTCCAAGTACTCCACAGCATGGCTGGCAAGAAAGGGTATAAAAGAAGAAAAACTAATGACATGGCCTCCTTGTTCACCTGATCTGAACCCCATTGAGAACCTGTGGTCCATCATCAAATGTGAGATTTACAAGGAGGGAAAACAGTACACCTCTCTGAACAGTGTCTGGGAGGCTGTGGTTGCTGCTGCACGCAATGTTGATGGTGAACAGATCAAAACACTGACAGAATCCATGGATGGCAGGCTTTTGAGTGTCCTTGCAAAGAAAGGTGGCTATATTGGTCGCTGATTTGTTTTTGTTTTGTTTTTGAATGTCAGAAATGTATATTTGTGAATGTGGAGATGTTATATTGGTGTCACTGGTAAAAATAAATCATTGAAATGGGTATATATTTGTTTTTTGTTAAGTTGCCTAATAATTATGCACAGTAATAGTCACCTGCACACACAGATATCCCCCTAAAATAGCTAAAACTAAAAACAAACTAAAAACTACTTCCAAAAACATTCAGCTTTGATATTAATGAGTTTTTTGGGTTCATTGAGAACATGGTTGTTGTTCAATAATAAAATTATTCCTCAAAAATACAACTTGCCTAATAATTCTGCACTTCCTATAGAATAGTGTTGCAATGTACTATGTCAAATACAGTTGCCCACACCAAACAAACATATTTGCAATATACTATTAAGACAATATCACCATTGCTTCTTCTGTACATATGAATAAAATCATGTAGCATTGTGTCTGTAGTGTGCTTGCTGCAGCTGGGGTCCTTCTCTCATGTTCTCCTAGTGCCTGTGTGGGTCCTCGTCCACAGCCAGAGACATGCATCTTAAAGTTTTAGGAGTGCATACAAGTTTGCATGGCTGTCTGTCTTTCATTGTTGATCCTGCGATGGCCTTTGCCCAGGGTGCACCCTGCCTCTCACCTTGCACTTGCTAAGATAGACTCCACTCCCCTCAGTGACCAAAGCTCCGTGCTTTTGTTTTTTGCTTTGCATGATTAACATTTCAAAATAGGAATGACTAAGTAATTGAAAATTTGCCCATGTTTAATATATTCTGGGGTTTTTAATTCGTTTTGATCATGGCCCATCTGCTTTATTCCTACTGACTATTAAGGCACTATAGAATATACAAATACAACAATAACACTACTGCTGATAATAATAAAACTAATATCCGTGGTGGAGAATGGTCCCACAGGATGATGACAAAAAGTTAATAATTGTTTGATAGTCTTGTGTTAACTTGTGTTAACCTAGTGTCAGTTACAGTTACCACAACAGCGGAAAGCCCATTATTGGGGTCTTTTTGCACGTTTCCTGCAGGAGGTGAGCTACTGCCAGGGCATGAGTCAGATTGCCGCCCTGCTGCTCATGTACATGAATGAGGAAGACGCTTTCTGGGCCCTGTCACAGCTGCTCACCAACCAGAAACACGCCATGCATGGTGAGACATCCCAGAGGATTCATTCATTCGTCTGAACATTAACAGCAAACGTGTTCTCTGCAAGATACGATGAAGCTAAACACTGAAATCATTTTCCTGCAGCTGCACCAACCGTGCAGATGACAGTCTTTGGCTCTGCGGGTGGTGGAACTGATTACAAACTGTACTGCTTGTCAGATTTGGTTTGGACTGACATGAAATTAGATTAAAAAGTTCTCACTTCCCTTCTGCCCTGTTAAGGCTTTTTTGTTCCAGGCTTTCCAACACTTCAGAGATTCCAGGCACATCATGATCAGATTATTTCCAAGCTCGTTCCCAAACTGAAGAAACATCTGGTGAGATCAGTTTTTTCTGTTTTTGAAAAACTTGGAGTAACGCTCTAGCAAGCAGGATACGTGCTAGTTCTGACTCGTGTTCTCTATTTCAAGGACAAAGAGCAGATGTCTGCAGGCATTTACAGCACCAAATGGTTCCTGCAGTGTTTCATTGACAGGGTGAGTCATTATCTTGGGGTAAACGAGTAAGATCATCTTTTTCTGCCTGTTAAACGTTGAATAAAAGGTCATCTGATTATTTTCTCACTGTGTGAAGAGGTTGCTTTCCCCTCTTCTTGTTTTATGTCATATCATTTCCATGTATCTTCTCTATTTTGCTTGGGAAGTTTTAAAGCAGTTCAATTCAATTTTGCTATAGTGCCAGTTCACAACAACAGTCAACACACAGTGCTTAATATTATAAGGTGGAACCCTGCATCAGAGCCTGAAACATACTAAACTAAAGCGAATAACGATCTTGCACCTGCAACAGTGGAGAAAAAGAACTCCCTCCCAACAGGAAGCTATCACCAACAGACTCTGGCAGCGCCTGCTGTGATTGGTTGGGATGTGAGGGGAAGGAAATGAAAGAATACAGAGAAGAAAAAGTGTTCAGCAGCCTGAGCGTGTGGCAGCATAACGAGTCACCTGATCCAGCCGTCACTACAAGCTTTATCAGAGAGGAACGTTTTAATCCTGACCTTCAAAGAAAAGATGCTTCATGTCTCCTAAACTGAGAGCTGGTTCTGGAAGAACCTGGTATCTCAGTGCTCTGAATGATAATTATTATTCATTAAATAGCCAGATTACACATTCAATTCAATTCAGTTCAATTTTATTTATATAGCGCCAAATCACAACAAAAGTCGCCTCAAGGTGCTTCATAGATACAGAGAAAAACCCAACAATCATATGACCCCCTATGAGCAGCACTTTGGCGACAGTGGGAAGGAAAAACTCCCTTTTAACAGGAAGAAACCTCCGACAGAACCAGGCTCAGGGAGGGGCGGGGCCATCTGCTGCGACCGGTTGGGGTGAGAGAAGGAATGCTGCTCATATGCTGCTCGTTACAATGTGAATTTATGAATATAGCCAACTGCATGTTTAATAAAACTGGAAAGTTAAGCCTGTGTAAATATAGCAGTTAGCATTAGCAGATGCTAATCTCTGTAACATAAAAACACTGAATCGCCTTTCACACAGTTATACTGTACATGATTTCAGCAGAGCTCGGGTGCATCGCATTAGAGGAGAGCATTAAGACCTGTCAGCCTAAACTGTTATTAGCCTTCTACTTGCATGCCCACAATCCTGTGGTAGTGGTCTGGCAGCGTTTGGCTGTTGTCAGCACTTCTCCATCCCGCTGAGTTGCCGGGCTCAGAGGGGCCTCGGGGCCTCTGAGGTCTGAGAAGGAACCAAACAAACTTCCTGACTCCAGCCAGCAGGAGAACAGCACATACATGAACCCACTGGCACAAACAAATCCAGCTAAGCTGCAGTGATTCTCTAACTTTTTGTGTTTGTGATCCGGCAGACACCGTTCACCCTAACGCTCCGCCTGTGGGACATTTTCATCCTGGAGGGAGAGCGGCTCCTCACCGCCATGTCTTACACTATCCTCAAGATACACAAGAGTAAGGAGATGATGGATGGGTCGCCACGAAACAATAAATCACTCTCTGCTCAGTTTCCTCACTGAGCCTTCTACACAACAACCACATTGTGTTAACTTTAGCCTCTTATTAACCTCCTGAAATCGAGTGATTTTGAAGTTTTCCAGTTTTTGTTTGCTTTCCTAAAGTCTGCAAAAGTGAAACTTCGCAAGGCCACACTTTGCAATTTAAGTACTACTTACTGGTGTCTGGTCTCGAGACATCTTTATGATTTTTGCATAAATGTCTGTATACTTGTGTGATTCAGGGTTTCTGTGTTCGTGTGGATATCTACAAGTGTATAGATGTTTACAGTCGTTTAAATCTCATTTGTAGCAAACAAGTTATTATTGCAGAAAATAGAAGATGTTATATAAATATAAAGATGTTTATAATTAATGTGCTCATTACAAAATCATATGTGGGATTACACAACTCAGTTTACACAAACATTTTTTATTGTCAGTTTTTTAAAACAGGGGTTAAATGTCATCTGAATACAGCTCCAGTACAAGACAGATGAGACGTGACTGCACGTTTCTGTGAGTTTAACATCTGGTTTGTGAACAGAGCGCCTCTTGAAGATGTCTCTGGAGGAGCTGAGAGAGTTCCTGCAGGAGCGCATCGCTCAGACTTTTTTCTACAGCGACGACATGATCGTTGAGCAGCTTCAGGCCTCCATGGCTGAGCTGCGAAAGATGAAGCTGGATCTCCCGCCTCCAGGTACGCGGCTGTCCTTTTAGGAGTCTCCAGTACTCCAGTACATTATTCGGTGTCAATAATGTGCACTTAAAGAAAATAAACAGTTCTTAATGGCTCGTTTTTAGGGAAGCCTGAGGAGCTGCCCCGTAAGCCGCTGGGCCAAGAGCTACCCGTGCTGCTGAGTCCAGTGCGGCCCTCTGAAGGGAAGCCAACGTCAGCTAGCGGGTTCCCCAAAGCCGGCCTGTGCCTCCGCATCATCTCCCACCAGCCAGACTCCATATCCCCAGACCAGAGTCCCTCCAAGGACCTTGTGAATCTTGAAGGTGTGGACAAAGAGGAGACTCCGTTGCCTTCCCCAGATCCCATCATCATCCACAGCCAAGCCCCACTCACCCCTGACAGCTCCCCACTAGCAGGGCCTCCGCCTTACCAACCCCCATGGAGTCAAACTGTGGTTGCAGCAGATCAGCCGTCACCACGGTCCGACCCGGAGAGGGTTGGAATAGAAGCTGACACAGATGTCCCGGTAGGACCTCCCTCACCTTCAGAAATAACCAGCGCCCCGCACTCGGCCTCTACTAACGACCTCACTGCAGACGCGCATTCGGCCGTCACCGGTCAGTTCTGCTGCAAAGTCCCGCGGACTCTTTCAGCGCCCGTGTCTCAGGTAGCCTCGCCGGCTTTGGGCATGGCCCAGTCTGAGAGTCTGCCTGCAGCAGAGAGGCTTCAGCTGCCAGAGCAGGCCTCAGCACTGAGCAGGGACGTGAACCTGGACTCGAGTGCAGAATCAGAGGACACATCGGCTGCCGATGTTTCATGAGAAGAGCAGAAAAGTGTAGATCGCTAATTTATTTATGACGCTTTTACATGTAAAAAGGTTAAGTCTGTGATTAATGTTCTGGTGTGATTTATTAGTCAGATTTACAGTGTTAAGCAACAGTTGCTTCAAAATGTGCTTTCAGTTTCGGGATCAGTATTTATAAAAGTTTTGTATTTGCCAATTTTCAAACTGACTTTCTAAAGACTTTTGGCTACAAGAAGCTGTTTCCTCCTTCGGACTTTTCAGCCCTTTTTCATGTTAGGTAACATTTTAACTGGTAGATTTTTGCCCTTTATATGGCTGAAAGTTCCAGATGTAGGTTACAAAGACAATATGTCGACATAGTGAAAGGCAGATGGGTTTGTTTGGTCCTGAAGCAGTGAACAGGATGATGTATGTGCTGTTCTGTTAGATCCAGTTGTGGGAGAAGGACATGCTAGCTAGCTGTCATTCTGGCTTTTAAATGTCTTAATTAGAAGATGTCTGTCTTAATACAACCCTCACATGCTTTGCTGAATAAGCAAATGTCCCAAGCCATTTATAAGCCTTAAATGGCTTGGGCCTGTAACTGATAAGAAATATATCAGCATATTCTGAGAGGATCAGCTGAGAACTTTTGTCAGATTTAATTGATTTTCAGTTCAGTTCTTTTCTCCAGTTGAGCAGAAGCTTCAGTAGTTTGGGGGTTTTTTTTGTGGGCACCGATCTTTCCACTTTAACCGAACATTAAAAAACACCTGAGTACCTGCTAAAATCGCTGATCTGTGGAAAACACGTCACTTCATCGTTCAACTTTGGGCACAAAGCATTTTTGCCCAGAATGGACTGATTCTTATAGAGCGCTTTTCTATTCTCAAAGCGCTCTATGCAACATGCCTCATTCACCCAATCACACCCATTCTCACAAGCACTTTATCTATACTCAGTGCTTTCTAAGTACACTCATACTCCGATGGATGCATCGGAGAGCAAGTTGGGGTTAGTATCTTGCCCAAGGATACTTGACATGCAGACTGGAGGAGCCAGGGATCGAACCACCAACCTTCCAATCAGTAGGTGAGCTGCTCTACCTCCTGAGCAACAGCCACCCCAATCATACTGACTGACTAAAACTGCCGTCGCCTGCTTTAATCAAGACATCATATTCTAGGTCTGGATTGGCGGGAAAGTGATTTCCAAGGACTCCAAGTCTGAAGCATCATCCTTTACAACAGACGAAACACGTTTGTAGTTTTTTAACTTTTTGTGTGTTCAGTCTAGGCCTTTGTAAAGTGTTTGCTAGGAGAGTTACAGGTTTATTTTTTGTAATAACGTCTCGATGCCTTATTTGGATTGGCTTCAGTTCTGCATTGGACCCCGTTGAACCTAACCTGACTCTACATCAGGAAACAGAAGCAGCTTCCTGGCGCTGTACTGATTGTGCAGATCTCTGACGTGGTGAGCAGGCTCACTGTTGCGATGATACGTACTGAAACCTGTTGAGCTCATTTCAAAGAAGTGCTTTTTTCTAGCTCTGTAATTTATTGTTTGTATCATCTCAGAAAAGGCATCTTGTGTGTTTCCTCCTTAAACGGTGAAAATACGCAAAATACGAATGTGTATGTATCAGATGATTTGAACATGTGTTTAATATTGTACAGTGCTGTAGAACCAGTAGGTAGACACAGCTGGGACTAGTTTGTTCATCTGAAGGAAGAAAAACTTCAGTTCTGTTCTTAGAAATAATGAAACGCTGACATCTTGTGGTTAGTTTAGATTAAGAGTTTCTCTCCAGTTATAGACGAGCCAGGAAGGAGAGAAGTGTTCTAGAAAGGTCTTCATTTTTTCCAAATAAATCTAGTCATATTTTACAATGTAATGCCATTGTTTTGAATGATGTAAATATGTTTTATGGTATTTGACTATATTTACATCCTGAAAATCCTCCAGGGTTGGAGAAATGATGTGCCAAAGTCCAGTAGCTACAGTCCAACCAATTAGCTGATTGAAGCCTTGGAGGTGAAACAATAAACTTTAATTTTGATTTTCTTTGTCTTCCTTGACTCTTGCAAAGTAAAAATCATGTCGGGGAAATAGTAGATTATGGGTCTAAGATGTTTTTAAACTGAAAGGGACAGAACGAGGCAACGATATGACCGATGTGGTGGTGCTGGGTAAAGACCAGCAGGAGAATTCAAACATGTATTATTAAACCTAAAAAAATAACTACTATTCAAAAGAGATTCTTCGCCTGCGCGTTACCCCGGTAACACGGTCGGCAACCTAACATCAGTGTGTTGAGTCGTACTAACATAAAGTTAACATACAATAAATACACACAGCATACAAATAAATGTTAACATTGGACACTAACACTGTTTTTATTTTGTCTTTGTCTGCGGGGACTTTTACAGTAAGGCAAGCAGAGACAATAAAGTAGTAAATGTACTGGTTTTTATACATCGTGCTTTTCTACTGTACCTGAGCACTCAAAGCCTCTTTAAAGAAGGAAAGAAAGAGAAACCTTTATAGTCCCACACGTGGGAAATCTTTGGTCACGGCAGGAAGTACAAGAGAGAAAAAACAATAGAATAAGATAAACAGAATAACATACTACACAAAACGGACAGAACACCATATACAATAGAAAAAGTACAAATAGAATAAAATACTTTGTTACACTGGGAAAATTGCTCTTAGTGCCATTGCAAAACAAGGAGACAGGGCGAGAGTTACAGTTGTGTATGGGATGGTTGTGTGTGTCTGTCTGCACGTGTGTGATCCTCTGCAGAGACCATGTTGTGGAGTCTGACAGCAGTAGGAAGGAAAGACCTGCGGAGTCTCTCCGTCCCACTCGTGGGTGCTGCAGCTGCCACTGAAGGAGCTGCTCAGTGATGTCAGAGTCTCCTGCATGGGCTGGGAGATGCTGACCAACAGCGATGACAGCTTCTCCTGTCACTCACCACCTCCACAGGGTCCAGAGAGCGTCCTAGAACAGAGCTGGCCCTCCAGCCTCTTCGTTCTCTTCCTGTCCCCTGCAAAGACGCTGCCGCCCCAGCAGACCACACCGTAAAAGATGGCTGAGGCCACCACAGAGTCATAGAAGGTCTTCAGGAGAAACAGGAACAACATACCTCATTCGCCTATTCAAACGAGCTCTTTTTTCTTGCGTCATATCTAACATTCATGCTCCCATGGCGCATCAGAGACCAACTTGGTGTTATTCCCAGGATATTTGGCATGCAGACTGGAGCAGCCAGAGATTAAACCGCTAAACGTCCGACTGGTAGATGACCCGGTCTACTTCCTGAGTAACAGTCATCCCAAGTGAGGTAAAGTGAAGGTTACTAATGACTTGTGGCCTCTGACAGTGGGCTTATTTTTGTGTGTGTCCTCTTAGACCTCAGAACAACATTTAATGCTACTGAACAAAATATTTAACTCAGACAGCAAAACTCTTCTATTGACTTATTCTGTGAAGGCAAATTACTCTGGGGCAAATCTTTGTACCTCGGTTATTGTTTGAAAGAAGGAGGGAAACAAGGCTCTGAAGTCTCACTGGCTGAGAGCTATGATGTGGGCTGGACTGGATAATTATTTTAAATTTTTAAAAAATCCTTAATGGCAGAGGCCCACAAAAGATATTAAAGACAATTCAATTTTATTTTATTTTATTTATACAGCACCAAATCACAACAACAGCCGCCTCAAGGTGCTTGACACCCTCTCTGCTTCTAAGATTAGGCTTCAACTTTCTGCTAGAGCATATCGTTAGGGCAGGATCAGGTCACATGAGCCATCCCTTAGGCACGCTGCAATAGGCCTAGGCTGCTGGGGTCTTCCCATGATGCACTGAGCTTTTCTTTTTCATTCCTCTTTTCACTCTCCGTGTATTTTTAGACTTTAATCATTATTCATTCTTTTTAATCGACGGCTGTCTTCCGTGTTGTCTTTTTTCCTGCCTCTCACTCCCAACCAGTCGTGGCAGATGGCTGGTCTTCCCTGAGCCTGTGTTTTTGCAGTTAAAAGGGAATTTTTCTCTTACTGTTGCAAAGTGCTTGCTTATAGGGTGTTGTTTGATTGCACCATAAGTTACAATATTGGTGTACCCCAGAGAGCCACATTCGTTGTATAGAAAGCTCGTGGTTAACAATGAATTTACCTGAATATGGTGAAATCTTGCATCATATCAGAGGCCTCAGGTTTCGTAGCTTTGAATAAGGTCTTTGCTTGTCTCAGAGGACAAATTTAATTACATTTTTGAAAATACAGTTCAGCTTCCGTGTTGTTCATGCTGGCTTTTAACAAAATATGTCTCATCTGGGCTTTTCCAACTTGGAAAGTAAAAACAGCTGAGGTGAAAAGGAGTTCTAGTCCAGCGTAGTTTTTAATGTGAACATCATACACCAGACTTTTTTTTCCCAATGACTTTAACACACCCACAGATAATCACGCGTAGTTATAGCCGCAGGGAGGTGCTGACGAGCAGGGTGAAAAGGATGTTGTGGCAGTACTGTGAGTTCGAGTTTGATTGGTCGCTTGTGCGTAAAACACTCCGTCCCTCTTTAAACTGCGGTCAGGTTTGGTATAGCCTCTCCTACAGCTGTGTGTTTCTGGCAACTGGATGTAGGAGCCTCTCTTCTTTAAACTGGGGCTCAAAATTGGAATGGTAAACACTAGCTGGGTTCTTTATTGTGCGTAAAGAGCTCCACATCATGTCCAACAATGTGTTGATTAAAACCCTAGAGGGCCTGTGCCTGGACTCAGGTTATATGGCGGGGGAGAACTGCCCGTCACTCAGCCTGTCCTCGGGCAGGTCGGGGCACTCGCAGCCAAATTTGAACACACCTCACCGGGGTCCTTGCTGGCAGCACGCCGGCTCCCTGTACAGCAGAAACGGTAGCTGGGACACTGTGAGCACGCTGCCGGAGGACGTGATAGATATCCTAACGAAATGCCCCTTTCTGCCCGAGCTGGAGGAGTATCCCTGGATCGAACAGGAGCTGCTGGAAGTTGTGCGTAAAGTTGCCCGCACGCGTGCGTCATACACGAGGGAAGCGGTCCACCGGCTCTCTGTCCTGCTCCGGAGAGCTTTGGTGCGCATCTCCCGGGAGGCTCAGCGGCTGAGTGAGCTGCACAGGCGGTGCACACGGCTGGAAGTGCAGAGCGCAGTGAGGCTGGTGTTGAGTTGGGGTCTCGCAGAGAAGTGCATCTCATCTGCTGTGAAGGCGGTGTCCCTGTACTGCATGAACTCAGGCAACACCGCGCGTCAGCGCGGCAAGTCCTCGCGCTGCGGCCTCACGCTCTCCGCGGGCCGTTTCTTTAGGTGGATGGTGGAGACGCGGGTGTCGGTTCGTGTGCACGAGTACGCTGCAGTGTGCCTAACAGCCTGTGTCGAAACTTTGGCAGAGGAAGTGGCAGGACGTGGGCTGCAGGCGGCGAGGCTGACCGCGGAAGAGGAGGGAGGGCAGATCGACGGGGTCATCTGCGGTCCGGTGACCACCGAGCTGCTGGATGGAGCTGTGAGCAACGACGCAGAGCTGTGGGGGCTGCTGCAGGTCTACGAGCATCTCATATGTGGCAAAAATGCCAGTGGTGAGTTCAGTGACCTCATGACGAGATTTTGAAGCTTACTTTTAATAAAGTATAGATCTTTAAAAATTCTGATCTAAATAAAAAGACAAAAAAGGATCAAAATGCAAATGTTATTAATTTATCGCTTAAGTTTAAAGCAGGTATTATATGCACATGTACAGGCTGTTTTTCTCTCCCCTGTCAAGAACCTTAGATTAAAAAATGACAACTACAGAAAATCCAAAATAAGAAATAGCTTTACAACAACCAACTCATCCAAGTTACCTTCCAGCAGATCCACAAACGGTGCTTCAGAAAGTTCAAAAAAGGTTCTGACACCTTTTTTTCTGATACAGTGGATACAATGTGTTCTTTGTGCAACATTCCAATCTAATGTTCACTTTTATTATAATTATGTTCATCTGGTTACAAAACGATTTGTCCATTAGGACTTATTTGTTTTGGAGCTCTTACTTCACTGTCAGTCACAGTGAAGCAGTGTTCTTTTGACCTCTGCTGTTATAGGAGTCATATATATATATACTGTATATATGTCATATATAGAGACAACAACACTATGTCCAGCTGTAGCATGCTAGTCTGAGGCTAGTCTGAGGCTCTGCTGAGATTTCTCTTTCCAAATTTTTGTCACATTTATCTTATAATATGTGATATTTCCTCTTCTTTCTCTGTTACACTTTCACATCACAGCTTGTGAGAAAGAGGAAGATGTCTGGATGAAAACCTGCCAGCTTTTGTTATTTCAATCAGTCTTTGAAAAAAAACTCTTCTTCAGTACAGTGCCAGGACTTGCATACATGCATACATGCATCTGTGACTGACGGTTGTGGGCTACATTTTCACAGGCTGACCTCACTACAGAGGGGAAAAACCTTGACTTCCTACTCGGTCCTCTGTTGAACTGGGTAGTGTTACAGATTAGACGAGTTGATGATGGCATTAAATTGCTGAGAACTCTCCAGAGTCCCGATAATAAGAACCAGAAGCTTAAGAAGTCTACAAACACCACAGAGAGAGCAATTAGAAAATCCTTCAGACAGGAAAGAGGCATTTTGGGTAGTAAGTAGGAAACACTGTCTGTTAGACTCACTGAGGTCAGCTTTGTTCTTCTTAAACATATTTTGCCTTTGAATAATCACAGCATGGACAATGAGCAACTGAGGAAGTGTTACAGAGCAAAGTTTGCATGAATCTTATGTCACAAAATTGACAAAAGATGCTTTCGGCCTTGAGTTTGAAGGGCAGATTAATTCCTTGGGCTCTTTATTGTATTCTTGAGCAGTCTTTGTGGCCTTGCTCCTGCTGTGGGAGGGTGCTGCTGATGGAGAGTGTTGTTGCCATCATTAGGTGTGCTTGATCGGCTGCAGCTTTTAAGTGGGAGGTACATGTTAAAGCAAGATCCACATGAATGCTAGGACTGAGGCTTGACAGCTTCATGTTTGAATTCGGGAGACAGATGGTTACGTTTTTACAGATTTGGATTAGAACTTTGTTTCTTTTGATAAAGCATATAGTTAGGGCTGGATCAGGTGACCCTGAATCCTCCCTTGGTTGTGCCAAGGCTGGTGAGGGCTTCCCATGATGCACTGTCTTTTTTTTCTCTTCACTTACCTTTTTTTCACCCACTGTGTGTTTATACACCACCCTGCGTTTCATCATTAGTTATCATTCATCTTGTCGTGAAATCGATCAATGTAGAGCAGTGTCGCAAACCACGGAGGCCCCAGAAAAGTGCAATCAAACGTTGAGTTTATTAACAGCCCGGAGAAAACATCAACATATGTCTTCTGACCAAAATACATGTTGTGGACACTTATAAAGCAGTGGGGTTACACCCCCCCCCCCCCCCCACCCCCCCATGGCGTCAATGACAGATTAAAATAGGTTCCAGACCTTAGTCACAGTTAATCGTACATCTTGTACATCTTTGATAGCTATAAGCAGACATAGAACTTCTCTTTTCTATAACACCTTCCATGCAAGGTAATAAACTTCAAGCCCTCAGGGTCTCTGGGGCTAATTATTGACTCTGGTCATCTGTTGCCAGAAAGTAAAATGCAACAGGTTTGCAACAAGAAGCTGGGAACATTTGGGCCTCTGCTCAGGCCTATTCCTAGATTATATGTGTTGTAAGCATGCATTGCAGTTATCCTTCTATGTTCTAGTTTCCCTCAGCATGGATCACCTGGACAGTCACGCCAGTGAAGCTTAAGACCCTTAATGAACCGAACATCAACTCAAAATAAGCTCAGATATGCAGTATGTATAAAATACTTAATGGAAGGGTCCTCAAATGCAATATCAATACTGTAAGAAATATTATTAAATGAAATAATGCTGTAAAGAATGTTATTAATGCAATTATAATGATGCAGATTATATGGCAGCAATAAAAGAATTATTTCTGTATCTCCACAATCTCTACTCTTCTCCCCTTATCCCAAGCGGATGGTCACCCTTACCTGAGCCTGGTTCTGTCAGGTTTCTTCCTGTTAAAAGGGAGTTTTTCTTTCCCACCGTCACCGGTCTTTACCTTCCATTAAGTGCCTCAAGGCAACTGTTGTTCTCTTCAGTTCAATGTATTTATATAGCACTCTTCACAGGATAAAAACCACAAAGTGCTTCACAGTAATATAAAAACAGATATACATAAAAAAAAAACAGCACAATCAAACTTGCAGCAGAAATCTAATTAAAAGCTAGTCTAAATAAATGAGTCTTAAGCTGCTTTTTAAAAGAATAAATACAATTAAAGCAACGCAATGATGGAGTTAGAGCATTCCTCAACCTGGGGGCCACCGCTCTAAAAGATCTATCACCTCTGGTCTTAAAACGAGTTCGTGGGACTACCAACAGCCTTTGATTAGATGATCTCAGGCTGCGAGAGGGAGTGTGGGGTTGATGTTGAGAAATGTGGGCAGAGGCATCACAATTCAAAGCTTTAAAAATCAGTACCAAGATTTTAAAATGAATTCTGAAATGTACTGGAATCCAGTGTAATGAGCGTAACACTGGTGTAATGTGCTCCGTTTTTCGTGTCTTAGTTAAAAGCCTTGCAGCAGCATTCTGGACTAACTGGAGACGGTCAAGATTCCTTTTGCTTAAACAAAGATACAGACTGTTACAATAATCTGAGCGAGATGAAATAAAAGCATGAATAACCATTTCTAACTCAGATTTAGACAAAGTTTGCAGTTTGGAGATGTTTCTTAGCTGAAAAGGCAGTTCCTAATGAACTGTCGAGAGTGTTGTTTTGGGGACATGGCAGAATTTAAAAAAAAAGGTACCTGAGGCTCGGGTGAACAGATGAGCCAAGAGAACCAAGATGCTGTTTGATTAGAGATATCTGGTTGTTGGGGGCAATAATTAATGTTTCTGACTTCTCAGAGTTCAACTGTAAGTAGTTGTCACCAAGCCACTGCTCAAGGGAAGCTAAACATTTAATTAAAGAGGACAGTTTATGGACTTCCATCGGCTTAAAAGAGCAGTAGAGTTGAATGTCATCAGCATAGAAGTGATAAGACCCCTCAGGGAACTGCCTGATTATAAGTTCTAGAGGTAACATGTACAGGAGAAAAAGAATCGGTCCCAGAACTGAACCCTGTGGTACCCCACATGTCAGATCCTTAGAATGTGACATAAACTGATTTGCAAAAACACTAAAAGATCTGTTGGAGAGGTGTGACTGAAACCACTCCAGAGCCAGACCGGATACAGCGACTATGTCCCGGAGCCTGTTAATCAGGATGGTATGGTCAACGGTGTCAAAGGCAGATGTTAAGTCCAACAAAACCATGACTGAGGATGCTCCGGAGTCAGCTGACATCATAATGTCACTAGAGACTTTAATTTTGCGGTTTCTGTTGAGTGACTTTTATGGAAACCCGACTGAAATTTGTCATAAATTTCATGTTTTTCTAAAAAAAAGTGGTAAGTTGATCTGCAACTAGTTTTTCCAGAATTTTTGACAATAATGAAAGCTTAGAGATAAGCCTATAATTCTTAAGCTGTGTTGGATCCAAACCGCTCTTTTTAATATTGGCTCAACAACAGCATGCTTACAGAACCTAGTGACCACACCTGGTGAAACAGAGTTGTGATTTGGGACTATATAAATGACACTGAATTGAATCGTTTCCCTTATATGTTCAAACTGTCTGCAACACGCTGGGATACTACAGGTCCCAACCCTCAAATGAGGACGAACAGGGAAAGTAAATGAATGAGTGCTGTTAGCCTCTGACCCATACACACACACACACACGCGCGCGCACGCACGCACGCACGCACACACACACACACACACACACACACAGCCACAGTGTTCTTCCTGATCTGGCAAGAAAAGCAGTGAAACCTGAGCAAATATTTCCACTTTGTTTGCAGACAGCTTGCTGATAGCATCCACAGACACAGCTCATAATAAATACAACAGAAAGCAGATTTAGGCTAACACTGCAACACACATGGTTGTCAGATCAGCTCAGAGCGAACTCCTTACATGAGGCTTTTTTTGTCTTCCTTTGTGACATCTGTAGTTTTCATCTGCTTCTGTGTAGGTTAAAAAAATCAGTGAACTATTTTTACTCCTGAGCATCCTTCAGTAACTCTCCTCTTTCCTCCAAATATATTTGAATAACTCTGACGTCCTTCAACACGATGCACTGATGAGGCTGATTTCTGGGTCATGAGCAGGATGACAGAGAACAGAAAAAGAGGCGCAGATGAATTACTCTGCAGCAAATACAGTGGTTACAGTTGTTCTGCTGCAAACTGGTAATGGCTCAGAGAGCAGACGCACCCGGTCATGATGGTGTTTGCCGTGTCACCAACAAAGATGGCTTACCTGAAGAACGCTTTGGTTATGTGAAAGCTGACTTAGATTTATTTACTGTGTCAGCTCTACAGGCAGGATCTCAACAACCAAATATTACTGTAATCAGTACTATTAGTGATGTCACAATCCTTTGTGCAAGGTCGTGGGAGCTATCTTTGGGCAG